TGAGCAAATATGTCAAGTTGTTCCACAGAAACAGAATATCAGTAGATAGTCTAACCCAAAGAGAAAAGTTTCCAGATAGAACTGTAATTATAATTAAGAAGTAATTGTATTACATATGTGCATGTTTTTCATTTCCCAGACAATCCTTGTAGGCATGCACGATGTCCTGGAAGAGCTGCAAAACTCAGGTTAAATTAGAATGACACTAACAGGCACTCTGTCCCAGTTACAGCTCTGATCCATTTTCTTTATGGTAAGAAAGGCCATGTGTTATTTCAGGCTTTTGATTGTAATAGTTTTTGAGATATTCATGTTCAAACACTGCCTATTTCAAGGTGAAAATTGAAAATGCAAATAAAAACATTTGATTTGGGCCTCAGTTTTCAGTTTCAAACCCTACAATCTACTTTGGAGGTCATCTGTCACCCTGTAAATGTTGATCGGTTTGCTAGCATTCCCAAATTATTCTTTAATGGGTTTTTTTTTTCTTTGTAGCTGCCACAGGAAGGTAAGAGACAAACGAAGGTCAGTATTTATCATGCAGTGTGTTAGAGCCTATAATAACAGAGGGCTGAGAGCATGGCTTTGGAAGTGGACTATTATTCATCACACAGCCCTGAAGCTGTATTATCTGCCATGGTAGCCACATTGTGTTGATTTAAAAATGGGATTGGTAACGTGTGTACACAGAATATAAAATGCCTGTAGGCACTCAGCTGTTGAATTGTCTCCGGTCAGTGATCTCTCACACACACACACACACACCCATTCAGCAAACAGTCTGTCCTCGTCCTTAATGCTTAACTTCAGCTCTGCTGTTTTCACATTAGCAGATCACCGATGCGCAAAGAGTGCAAAAACCTTCGCTGCGCTCACACCGGCCGTTAAACCGCTTCTGGCCTGAACTGTTTGCTAATGCGAGTCTAGTGTTGAATGCATTTTATTTCAAGCACCTATCGTGTGTGTTGGCAGTGAATGCCTGCAACTCTCAGTTTAATGAAGCACAATGACTGTTGGAGCAGAGGTGGCAAGTAAAAGGTTTTCCTAGTCTGTTGTTAAATATGCTGGGAAGGTGTTTGGTGTCAGAGGTTAACTCTGTAGTGACAGAATAACTAGATTATTTCTGGCCACTTTGGATAACGTGGTTATGTTTTCCGGGATTAATGTGACTGGGAGAAAAGTCAAATTTGGCAGCGCCTGAAAACAGCACACAAAGCACTTATCAATATTAAATCTCTCTGGGTGTGTTGGGCCACTTGTTGTCGATCTATTTTCGCTTGTGAGCCCTTAAAACAAAGCTCTGTCCCTCACTGTAGGTTATGGCCTTAATGTGGACATACCCATACAGGCCCAAATGGTTACCTGTGGTTTAATGTGGACTGCCCTACAGCATGCTGTGTGGGTCTACCCGCAGTGTTTTCTGGGCGAGTTGTTAGCAGGGAAGCAAAAGTATGTTTTTAGCCTCTCAAATGTTGTATATTTGAACATTTAAAGGCTAAATAAGTGTGGTATTGTCTGAGGAAAGTCAAGAGTGGCAGAAAGGGTCGTGCGTGACATTTATGAGGACAGTGAGACAGTGCTGAGGTGTGCAGCAGGGGTGGGACTCCTTGTCTGCATTGGTGAAGGACAGGTTTACAGGTAAGGTCAGGCAGGAGTCTCTGTGGACTATGATTTTCACAGCCAACATTATGATCTGTAGTGAGAGTAGGGAGCAAGTATACGATGGAGAGAGGAGGAATGAAAGTCAGGTTGTGCAGGGTGGAGACACAGTAAGAGAGGCAAGGATGAGGTGGTTCGGACGTGTGCAGAGGAGGGGTAGTGGATATGTTGTAGATGGTCTCTATAAGGGATGGAGGGGAGGCGCGCTGTAAATGGATATTTAACTTGTTACGGGCAAATTATAGTGAGGGAGTGTCAGGATCTCACGATGTTCCTGTTCATTCTACTAATTCGACGTCTTTTACAGTCCTGATAAGAAAGCTGAGACTTTGACACTACAGCTTATTCAGGTTGCCTTACCCAGTGCACTGCAGCTTTTAGACATTTTTCAGTGTGTGCTATCAGACAGACGGCACCTTCATATTGGTTTCACCGCAAGTGTGGGCAGCCCTTAATTGCTCTCTATCTCTATCTGGAGCAACTCGAATTTGACTCATGGGACCAATTTGCTTCACTCTTGCTGTCCACATTTTTCTTCATTGTGTGATACATAACCGATGCACAAGCCCTTGTATCCTGAGGTTTTAGGTAATTGTCAGTAACTTTTTAAAGCACTTTCACAGTTTGCTTGAACCACTGCGGTACTAAAAGTTTTAGGCTAAGCTTCAGCTTAAAGTGCGTGTTACTTATTGCTCCTTTAAAACGTTTTCCCTCTTAAAGCGCTCACTCCAAAGCTGCGTGAGAAACGGCACATCTGGTCTCTTCGTGTCTATGTTCCAGTGATAGGAGACTTGCCTGCCCCCTTCCTCTCATGAAAACGGACAGCTCCCTTGTTCTTCTTTAATGTAATATTGATTGACCAAACTCCCAGCTTGAAGGCCAAGGGATGGGAGAGTGTCTGCAGCATCACTGGGCATTAGTGGGATGAAGATGTATCCAAGCGGGAACCCTTCTGACTTTCTGAGTGTGCAGATTGTGGTCAGATTTAGTGCGCTTTAGTATTTAGTGTGTTAAATTATGCTTGCAACTTAAATACCTGCACTGTGTAGGCATACAAGCATGCATTAAAAAGACGGCAGAAGGACTACGCCCAGTGAATGCCAAGCGTAGGACAAAGAAGTACTCCTGCTGATTAGAATAATGAGCTTCTCAGTGGATGTGTTCTCCATACTCAGGAGTCTGGGAGAAACCTGAGGTCTCACTGTGTGACTAGGGTTGCCAACTCCCTGAAAAATAAATAAGGGACACCTCGTGGCCAGGGCCGGGCAACCCAGTTGTCTTCACCCTTCCCAGTGTGGTGAATTTTCTAGCTCTTTTTTTGTGTGTGAAATTATTATTTTTAACCATTTGACTTGAAGTTGATTTAAGTAGATACATATTCTATTCTTTGTGATATGAACACATGTGAAACAAGTGATCATTTAGCCATTTATTTTTAGCTCAAAATGACAACATTAACACAATAAAACAGGTCTCTTTCTTAAACAGAAGCCTGTCATGCTTAACTTTTGAGAATATAAGTAAATCTTTCTTTAAAAGAACTCTGTCCTGCTTAACTTAAAATAATAGAAAATAATAGAAAGAAAAACATTCTTGTAACAGTGCACATTTAGTGCATTTAGTACAATTGGCTTCAGTTGAGGTATTATTTCAGCTTTTCTAATGCTAATCAGCTGCTCCTGTTTGTAAACCCGCTTGTTCCCATGATTACGCATCTTAACTCATCATCATTATTCATCTATGTATTACTTTTATGTATTAGTCATCTATTTGTTGTAATCATCTATCCTTGCAGTTGTTTATTACACAAAATAAGTTATATTATCACACTTCTGGCCACATAGCGCTGATATTCACTGCACATGCCCATATTAACTTTTTCCAGCCAGGTGTTTTCCTTTTCCCATTCTTCCCTTTCTCTGAGGGGAACAAACATTGCTGCTCTAATGCTGTGCGATTTTTGGCCCATTTTGAAACGATTTTTGAGTCGTGCGACCGATCGTAGTATACGTGGGGTAACGAGAAGTGATTAACACCTCACGACCATCTCCCGATCATCAATCGCTCGTGAGGGTGTCACCGCAGCCGCTCACACTGCGCACGCGCAAACACGTAAACGTCGGTGAAAAAGATGGAGCAGCACAGCTGTGCAGCGTGTGATCTGGACACACGCGATGGAGGCACAACTTGTAGAACTTTGGAAAGCTCATCCAAGCCTTTTCGATGTGGCATCACAAAATGATCACGACCACAACAACCGTGAAAATAGTTGGATTTACATTGCTGCTCAATCACAGCTGCCTGATCAATGTTTTTCATTAGCAATTTAGCAAAGTTGATGGTGGCGGTGTGTCTGTGTGAGTGAAAGACAGAGAGAGCGAGCGACAGATTTTCTGTTATAACCTTCATGTTATGGAGGCACAGTGTGAGCTCTCAGGTCGCATCAGAGCATCGGGCGGTATAGTGTGAGACCTGCATCGTGACCTACGAACTTCTAACCCCTGCGAGTCAATCGTGCAGTTTGAGCAGGAGCTGAATAACGCGACTGAAAAAAATCGCACAGTGTCTGCCCAGCTTTAGGTTTACTGTCGTCCGAGACTTGCACCGCAGTGTCGGCGTTTGTTTCCCTGTTGGCCATGCTTCTTGTTGTGGTCATCTGTTGTCTTCCGGTATTTTCTCAGCAAGCGACCTTTCCTCGACCAATGAGATGAGCGGTAATCTGAATTGTCATACTCGAATTGTCATAAGTGTGCTGTCAGCTCATTGGTCACAAAGCAGGAGAGGGGCTGAGAATTATGTTTTCAAACAAAGCGTTAATTCCATTAAAAGTTATAGACTACTTTTGATTCTCACTGTATTACGGGACAAAGTGCGTCCCTTATTAGCTCAATACGGGACGTGTACTTTTGTTTCTAAATACGGAACGATTCCGTATTTTAAGGGACGGTTGGCAACCCTATGTGTGACAGTACGTCTCATATTTACAAATGCACTTGTTTTTCATTTAAGCATTTAATACCATTGTCACAAAAAGAATTAAAGTCATGCATCAGTTTGTTCCTTGTGACATAAAAGCATATTAGGAAGCCACGGTGTAATTAAGCACCACTGTGAACTGGCTTGTGCCAGAAGGTTTCCAAGTGCTTCTTTTTGGTTGTTCGGATGCTTCCTTTTAGTATTCCGTGGATCTGTTTACTCTCCAACATCTGCTGACATGACAGTTTGCCAAGGGCGGGGTTTGTGTGTCTGTGTGTGTGTCTGTGTGTACGTGAGAACACAAAGAAAAAAACTGAGTCATTTCTTTCCTTTCATTCATTCTCCCTTCATATCCTTCTTTACAGGTTCAGCACAGAAGGCCTCCACTTGGAAGTTATCCAGCTCTTTTCTACGCTACAAATGCTCCCTCTAGTGGTAATTTGATGTTATTACATCCACATAATATTGAACTTTTATGTCACACGTGTGCACCTGGTTTGTGACTTTACTTGTGGGTGGTCAGACTGGCCTTATCTGTGCACATAATTGGAATAATAAATGCAAAGCTTAACACTTAAACTGTCCATACCCCACCCCCCACCCCCTTCACTGTGCAGCAGCTGCATCTTTGAAGTACAAACATGGGCGTTTGGTTCTGGAAGTCCCCTTGCCATCCAGGAATGAGAAGTGTCTGTTTTTTTTAAGGCCCATGTTGATGAGCGTGGGCGACTTGATCGGCGATCTGCAGAAAGAGGACCCAGGAGCTACCGCCTCAGTTCTCTCTAAAGGTAAGACATGCTCAGTATGCAACAGGTGCAGTCGGTCTGGTTCGCCGGGTTGCGCACAAAAAGGATGAACGATAGCCAGTCAAGCAAGATGCCTCCACAATAATCATTTACTCATTTTCACATTTACACTGAGCAGTTATCAGTTAATCACCTTCCACTGCGAGTAACTGTGGCTGTTTGTAGTACAATAGGTCACGGTTCCCTGCCCTTTAAAACAGGGCGGTGTCTGTTTTATGATCTTGTAGCACAGATCATTGCTTTTAAAAGAAATTCATAAACCGTGCAATTTTGGGGAATACTGCAGTGTATTTTACATGCAGATAGTCTTGCAAACCTCTGTGGCTCCTCAGTGAGCAGGAGGGAGTGGCACAAGGTTACACTGGTCTACACGATCTTCACACACCTGTGTCTCTCACCAAAGTTATGTGTTGCCTTGAGCGTGCCATGTTTTGACACAGTGGAGAAAAATAGGGCAATTTTCTGTAACAGTACTCCACGCTTCCTTTTCAAACTTCTAATCATTTTGTAGCCACTCACATCTGAGTTGGTATGGGAACCAGAGCGGTTAGGAAGGGTATCTGATGCAGTCCTCCTTAAGTTACTTTAAGGGTAACTCGTGAAAAGTGTATTTTTCCATGAAGGAGACAGGTGAGGCAGGTTGTGGCAAAGATTTTTATCACTTTAGAAGACGGGACATGTTAGACCAGAGCAGCAGAGATTAGCAGATGACCTTTTTTCCACACAGCTCTCGTTCCCATACATGACCTGTAGTTATGCAGTGCTGAACTACATTCTTTAAGGTGTAAATTACTGACTTTGTCCATCACCGTGGGGTTTATTTGATAAACTTTTTGTTGCTTTCATGTTCTATTGAATTTGTTTGGTCCCTCTGCCAGCAAACCTGTTTTTTCACGGTATAAAAGATAAAGTTAATTCAGTTCAGCGCTTGCTTTGACAGATGGGGAGCGCATTGCCAACAGCACGCTGATCGATGCCCTGCTGGACAAGGACTTTCAGCTTGTCATCAACAATGCAGTTTATAATATCTGCGCTCCTGAAAGGGGTACATTTATCTCCATTCATAAATTCTCCATTTGGCAGTTTTCCAATTACACTTGATCCTGGTGATAAAATGTGGTTATTATCTTCCATTCTTCTCATATTTCACTTTTACTTTCTCCTCGTTGTCTGCCCTGTTGCGCCTCCGTTGCAGTGTGTGCATCTGCTGAGCACGCTATGGAGCTGGAGGACATGAAACATGTCGTGCACCTGCTGCACACGGCGCTCCACCAGCCCGAACACCAGCTGCTGAAGGAGAGGGAGCTCCTGGAGAAACTGGACAACCTCAAACAGGAGCTTTCTCCTCTGGAGAAGGTACTCGATGTGTTGCAACAACCACTCACCCATAAAATTACTTTGTACCTTGTTATACTTGCTTGAAAGCTTCATTTAAAGGTAATGATGACATTTCAGCCTTAAAGACTTGGTAACCCATTTTTCTCTGCATTTTATTGGTGACAGATGAAGGCAGACCTGTCCGGTAAAGCAGACTTCCAGACATCCAGGGCTCTGTATGTTGGCCTGGCGCTGCTGTCCGTGCAGGGCGGCGCCCTGGCCTGGCTCACCTGGTGGGTCTATTCGTGGGACGTCATGGAGCCCGTCACGTATTTCATCACCTACTCGACCAGCATGGCAGCTTTCGCCTACTATATCCTCACCAAACAGGTAAGACTCAGAGACACCTGACTGACTTCATCGTTTTCCTCTAGGTGTAGATGACAGGTGCTCCTCAGGCCATTTCACAAGTTGTTCCTTCAGACTTGGGCGTGCGATTTATTGTGGACTGTGAAAACAACATGGAAGCTACAATAAAGATGTCCTGTGTTGCTCTGAAGGGGTGAAGAATGTTTGTAGTGTAAATAAATATGGCTCAACTTGACTTCTTATCAGAGTAACTGACAACTAGCAGTTAGAACCTATTACTCAGCAAGTCACGTACCAGAACTTTCACTGACTTTCAAAATGCTTTTCCTTTTAAATATTCTGATCATTTCAAGAGCACATTTTGGGAAATACATCAATTTTCTCTGCCCAGTTAATAGTCTGGAAAAAACCATAAAATCTACCCTGACTCTCTAGACCCAAGAAATGATAATAACCTCCTTTAGAAGGCTGATCTTACACTTTAGATGTTAAAAAAAAATCTAAAGTGTTACAACAAAACAAATTTTAGTTACACCTAATGCTCATTTGTGTAAAATAGTCATGTGTGCAGATATATTTTTAAATAATTAACCTACTTTGTTCTCTCCTACAGGATTATGTATACCCAGACGCCCAGGACAGGCAGTTCCTGCGTTATTTTTATAAGGGGGCCAGAAAAAAGAGATTCAACGTGGAAAAATACAATGAACTCAAAGACAAGCTGGCCCAGGTTGGCTGACTGTTTTGTTTTACAATAAATGACTAAATAGTCAGAATCTTTGTTACTGAATGTGTTTGTTTTTTTTCTTAAACAAATCTACAAGGAACTGTTTTGGGGTTATTTTTATTATTAAAGGAAATATAAAAATAAAAGCTCTGATAAATTGTTTTCAGAAACCTGCAAAAGGTATGAACAACTGCTTTTACAGTCTTTGATTTTCTGTTTTCTGCGTTTCAGGTGGAGGAAGACCTGAGGCGTCTGAGATATCCAACCCAACTCCAGCTACCAATTGAACAAATCCAGCCAAAGCCATAAATGAAGCCAAGCCATGAATGATGGTCCCTCAAACTTTAACAGAGGAAAAACAAAACAAATTTTCCTGCTTTATTTTGATAATAGCATCTTTTTATCTCAAATCCATGAAATTGTTTTCTTTAAGTATTAATAATGATGCCAATTATATATCAAAAGAAAAAAAAATAGAACAAAGATTGACTGCTAATGAAATGAAATGTTTCCCAAACCTCATTTGAATCTGGTGTCTTTCTGGTCTGATTGTGTGATTGTGAAGCGCTTTGATTAAATCTGCATCGCGGCCGTTACAGGATTATTAAATAAAGAATGCAAACGCACTTTCTAACACAAATGCAATGAAGATTTTTATAAAACACCTTTTTATTGAGGGCAAGTAAAGTAACTAAAGTATGAGCACAAACATACAGCATTGTTGTTTATTCTGGCGTATTCACCCACCCACGCCACACACACCCACGCCACACACAGTTTTAGGTCCAAAGTACAACTTTAAAGAACACACCCTCCTCCCTGAGGTACTTTTCACACTGGTATTGTCGTCTAGGTGCAAATATGCAGGAGTAAATGTACTATAAATTACTGACACATAAAGAACATGAAATCCCTTTGTAAAGCAGTAAGGCTTAAGGAAACACACTGTTTATGTAGTGCTTGGACAGTTTGTTAAAGTGTTGGCTACTTGAGGCTTATAGTGAGATAATGAAACTGATGAGTAGGAGCATTCCACCGGAAAATTCCAGCTAAGAACTAAGAAATTCCAGTTTTAAGTGGAATGCACTGCATGTCGCCTATTTCTGAAGATGAACTGGAAAATATTTGTCTGGCTGAAAAAAAAAAATCCTCAAAAACCCGTGAAACAGACTCCCTGAGGTTTCCAGCTCCCACAGACAGCGCTGAGCCGGTGAACACCTCTGTGTACAAGGCCGCTGTAAACGATGTGCTTTGAACTTGTTATAAAAGAAGGCAAACTAAACGCACTGCCGTGCAGTAAGGCGTTGTTCTGTACTGCTAAAGTTATTTCAGTAGTTTTACGAAGCAGCCAAAAAAGACTGATTCATAACCATCATAATTTGAATACAGATGGGTTGTAATCCACATGGACGGGGATAGAAAAAAATAACAGGAATACCAAATTTAACACAGCTACGCCATCAGTGGCAGTATTTAAACGATGACAGTAGTTTTAATGTTGCCTGTTTTGGCAAATTTGTTGCCTTTTACACACCCCTGTCCCCCAGAACAAAACATCTCTGCTAGTTTTCCTCTGGCCTGTAGTGCCTTTTCTTCATTTCCAGCTCCAGGCATGTCTGCCTTCTCTTTTATATAATAAAATTAAATGTCAGTTGTCTCATTATGCTTAAAGGACTAAAACCACAAATCACATTTAAAAACTATTTTCTTTGTATGGAATTAAATCTGATCATCAAAAAAAATGTGTGGCCATCTGTCAGTGAAGCTCAGCCATTAACTTGAACATCCTGGCATTCCCACATGAACTCTTTTTAATACTCAGGAAATAATTCCTGAAAGTGGACATCTGAGAAATATATTTCTGGGTCCTTATGTTTTACGAGATAAGTGCCATTTAGTTGTGTTAAATTCAAGCAGAGTGGTCGTTTCAACAGCTGATATCACCAAACTCTGTAATTAATTCATTACTAACGCAGTCAAGATGGATAGACACAACTACAGGCCTGAGGTATATACAACTGATTTTCAGTTGGATGTTCTCTATAAACTCATTAGATCTTGTTATATTTTGTGTCATAAGCAGCTTACTCAGACTGGCAACCTGTCCTGGGTGTGCCCTGCCTCTCGACCTATGGCAGCTGGCCCTGACAACCCTGAATTGGATAAACAGGAGAGGATGGATGGATGGATGGATGGATGGATGGATGGATGGATGGATGGATGGATGGATGGATGGATGGATGGATGGATATTCAACTTAGTCAGAAGACAGCCACAGTTGTGCTCGCTAAGTAAAACAGCATCTCTATTTCCAACAACAGTTCAAATATCAGTTACTGTAGGGGTTGTTGGGTTAGACTCCATTATAATCCCAACTATTGGTTTGCATTCAGAGATAACTGGGAAAGTCTGGCCAAGATTAAAGAGTTAATTTGTTTGTTTGTTTTAATCTTCTGGAAACCACATTTTCACTGTTTAGTTATTTAAATTTTTGCCATAAGAACAACACTAATTCTTTGCCAAAGAAACATGTTTTACATATGACCCCCATAGAGCCTAACAGGCGCTGAATGAAGCAATAAACTGCATTAGATGGTCACTTTGCATGTGTTCATATTCAGATGGTGATGCAGAAAATTATATACATTTAGTCCTAATCTGGTGCCAAGTGTAAATTCCTGTTTAGAAGCCCTATCTAGTTAAAAAAAAAAAAAACCCACATAAACCCACTTATTGAAAGACTGAGGTGTGACAGTGTTACTTTTTTGGTCGGAAGTAAAGTTTCTTGGTGAGCATTGAAGCAAAACAAGGTACTTGCTTCTTCCCGATAGCGTGTAGGTCACGAGCTCTCAGAACACTCCTCATGGACACTTTTCTATTGACCAGCGTGAGTAACTCTGTGAATTCCAGGGTATCACCAAGCTTTTGGAGCAATTCACACAGATCTTGGATATACCAGGAGCCATTGATAGTCTCCCGGTGTGAGTAATAACCTAAAAAATATTGAAAAGAAAAGTTAATATGGAAGGTGAAGAAAATGCAAATGGAAGAATTATGGATTTTTAGAAAGCTATGAAATGTTAAATGCTTTACACCAGGATTTATAGTGGCTCAATTGTACTGTTTTATTAAGAAAAATAAACCTATTTAGGCACTGGTCCAGCTCCTGATCACCGATAAATGAGCTTAGACATATAAATACAAATACACAAACAGTGTATAACACTAGCTGGACAGTTTGTGACACTGTAATCATGTGTCACTGGTAGCCAAGTGGAGACATTTTAGCTTTATATTATTATTAATTATATTAAACAGAAGAAACTATTAGATATATTTGAGGATACAATTATTCTAACATCACATATCTACCCTATGATTAAAAAAAACACTCAGTTCAGTGTCTTTGATATTTCCTCTGAGCCCAAATAAAAAGCAAAAGGTTCAGTCAAATCCCAGAAGACTCACCTTCAGCCACAGAATAGCACATGATGAAATCAGCCCCAGCAGGGAGCGTGTGTATGGCACTGGCATCCACAAACACCTCTACTTTGCTATCCACTGCATCAGCGGGGGTAACTGGATCGTCATGTTTTTCTCCTCGACATGCCTGGAGATGGATGGATGGAGCATTAAACTAAGGTAATGCAGCAAGTTAACATGCTCTAATACAGCGGTCTCCAACCTTTTTTGTGCCACGGACTGGTTTATACCCGACAATATTTACACGGACCAGCCTTTAAGGTGTCGCGGATAAATACAACAAAATAAAACTAGTACCGGTACCGAAAAAAGAAGATTTATTCATAACACACGTGAAAAGACCCAGGAAAACTGAGTTAACGATTAAAAACGACAACAAAATAACGCTGAAAATTGATAAAAACCCTGAAAACCATACATTTCACACCTGAGCCTCAACTCTCGCGGCCCGGTACCAAACGACTCACGGACCGGTACCGGTCCGAGGCCCGGGGGTCGGGGACCGCTGCTCTAATAGACTTGACTGATTTCGGCTAGTGTGTACCTGTATTACGAAGATCTTTGGCTTTCCAACAAGGTCCTGGCACTTATCTCCCTTGAACTTGGACGTGATCTCCTGGATACTGATTTTTCCATCGTAGCAATAAACATGGTTATCCTCTCCGTGGCTCAGGAAGGCGAGGAAAAAGCAATCCGCATCTGAGTGATCTTCCTCCGCAGCTAGTGGGACAAAAAGTACTTGTTAAACTTGCAGCTGTATGTTGGATTTGAGACAGATATGTTTGCAGGAGAGCAAAGAGTTATGGGAGAAATCAAACTACGGTGATGATTTTCTTGATGATTTTTTTGTCCATCTTGGATGCATGCTAGGTATTTGAGAGTTACAAGTGATTATGTGGGTACCTTTGGCGATTTCATCTAGGACTGCCTCCTGCTTGTAGTTATCATAACACCTCACTTCAAAGTTTAGGTCCTTCAATCTGAACAGAAAGTGAAAATGAGTTGATTATTTTAACAGATCAAGGACCAAAAATAATTTTATTGTTCTTTATGAGCAATATAAATTCTTTAGACAAGGGTTTGTTTGGATCAGGATTGATTGGACCTTTTTCAGAGTCCTAAAAATTTCAATGCCTCAATATTTCTGCTTCTGCAGACACTCTACAGCATCAGCTATTACCACCCCAGGAGAGACGGTCATAGGATTCTTTCTAAAATCCACAACCATCTCTTCAGTTGTTGATGCAGTAGGAACAACTTGGACAACTGTGAAATCAGCCTCTATAGGGCCACGATCACACTCTGTAGTGGGGATTGTGATCAAGGTCATCACTATTCAGGAGAGAAACAATCACAGAGTTCTCTGTGAACTTAAAAATATAGCGCACATATTGTCCTTGGCACTCCCTGGTGCACCGCAGTGAACGAACTCAGCCTCAGGGCAATCCAACAGAGAAAAGAATAACATTTAATAACCAGGAAAAAAACATTTGAAATTCTTACACGATATTACCACAGAATAGATCTAAACCTGCCATGAAAGCGCGGGCTAATGCAATTTCCTTTTCTTAAGCAGGTAGCTAGAAGTTGTACCTTTTCTCCAAATTGTAACGATCAGCATTGGTTCCATTTCTGTCATTCAAGCCCAGGCGCCAGAAGAAGCGCTCCTGATTAAAGATCAGTGCAAGACCTCGTCGTTTGTTGCCCATCTTGTACTCCTCTGCAGGATCCAGGTAGCTGAATATCGAGTGAAAATTGGGCACATGAATACAGCGCAATAATCTAAGTGAGAATTTCAAGTAACAGCCACAAAACGTGGAAGTAAGAATTTACCTTCTGATGAAGGAGTCGGTCTCTGTTTGGTTTTCCGTGCATACTATTGAAAAGCACATGCATAAATAACCAGTGCAAAAACTACAAAATAATAATGCTGTAGCAAGTCTTGCTTTATGCTTATCCAAGTTTTGCAACATGCCAGTGTTAATGATAAACATGATATTGGAAAGAAAGTAGTAACACATGTATGACAATATCCTACATCGTACTGTGCCAGTAACTACCTGCTTAATGCGCCAGTAAGAGTGTTAGAATAAACCGAGCACAGACGACAACCGTGATATTTTAAAATCTCAGTACTGCATCAATAATGCACTTGACAATATCATAGTTGTGTAATTGTTCCTTTTCTTCAGGCCGTCCTCACTAACTCCACACGCAAACGTCTTAAAATAATTAAGATGAATTTGACCATTAACATATTTCTAATATCCTGTTAATACAGGAAATTAGGTTTCTTAATATTGTAATTGAGAAACATTTTGTGTAGTGAAAATCAATTCAAGTCAATTCAATTTATACTTATAAATACTTATAAATATATTTATACATTTATATATTTATTTATACAGAGCTAAATAACAACAACAGTTGCCTTAATGTGCTTTATACTGTGAGGACCCGACAGTATTCAGGAGAAAGCGTCAACAATCAAATTATCTTTTATGAGGAAGCACTTTTGAGTGGTGGGAAGGAAGAACTCCCTTGTAACAGAAAGAAACCTCCAGCAGAAACAGGCACAGGGAGGAGCCACCCTCATCCTCATCCTCCAACCATGCGGGAAAAGGAAAAAGAAAACACAGCAGAGGACTTATCCATAGCAGGATTTAGCTTTTCAGACTTTTGTTTTTGTTTAAGAGTACAGCTACAAGTGCTGCTAGTGTGGAGGTCAAGCAGCCATTGTTCCATCCGCTCAAAGTCCTGACAGCTGTCAATGGCTGAGTGACGGGTGGAGAAACATAGCAAAGGCTGCTAAAAGAACAAAGCCCAAGAGGAACAGCTCTATTCTCCACCCTACAGATACATAGGGCATAGTATTTGTGCAAATGAGGTAGAATGGGTGTATTTGAAGGTAAAAGG